TAACCTCGCAAGAATACCCTCTAAAAATAAGAAGACTACAGATTGTTCTCAATTATGAGTTAAAATTAGCATCTTCATCAGTTTTAAATTACACTCAAAATCAACAAAAATGAGCTTCACTAATAAAGCACCACAAGATCACCGATATCAAYCTTTCATGACTCGCAACAACCCCTGGATTCACTGAATTTTCACCATAATGAATCTTACAGAATTAAAAATAGATTCTACAGATAACATAACCCATAAACAATACTATCTTTACATTTTACATAATTTATCCGGACAAAAAAATTACACAGACGCCTCAAAAACTCAAGCAGGAGTCGGAGCTTCGATAATGTGGAATAATTTAAAACTTATATACGACTAAAAGYCACTTAATACAAATTCAATTTTTACTGAGAAGTCATACACAATCTTCAAATGCATACAATTAGTTATAGATTCAAATATTTAAAAAGCAACAATTTTCTCAGATTCGCTTACTCCGAACCAAGAATTATCGCAAAACTTCCTGAACACCTTTTAAAATCTTCAGCCATACAATAACACGTACATTTCCCCAACCCCAACCATATCAAATTTTCTAAATTTTTCTACGCCAATATTTAGCACGTCATTAACACAGCCTTTWCCGGAATTTGTACGGCACTGGTTTATCCGGAAAATTCAATTTTCTATGGGTGGGGCTGGGGAAATGTACATTGCAATAACAAATCCTCACTCAGAGCCACCATGAAATTCATTGAAAAGGAAAATTTTAAAAACAAACTATAATAAAAGTGTTATAAATAATAACACAACTTTAATTTAATATTATTAAAATTAAATTCTTCGCACATTTATATATAAGATATAACGCTTGTATTCTAATAACCAATGTCAGTATGTCACCGAGGGAACYTTTTAATCATAATAAAAATATATTTATATCATCAAACAAAAACTGATTGAAATTAAACGATACATAAATAATGTATACTATTAATTACAACAATAGGTAAGGAAAAAGGTATTTAAATCATAAATGATTTTATTTTAATATTGTTACTTTGTTCTTTGTCTACATTTTATTTCCATAAATTTAAAARCAAAATGTGCATAGATRTGAAGTGTACTTAACTACATAGGTACAAAGAAACTTTTCTTAATTTATTGGTTACTTTGAAGTTTATTTTATTAAGCCCTAAATATAATATATTGTAAGTGTATTTTTATCTTCAATATCCCTTACCATCATATATTATATAGCATAGTACTGGATAATATTATTACAGACTACACTTTAAACTCTGTATTTTTATTTATTTTATTGATAAAAATGCTGGTCTCATTTATGTGGTATACTAAACGCAGACAAAAATGATAATATCGACATCGCAGGAGAATAGTCACAATAAATACTGAAGATTTCCTGAATAGTTGGTTATCACTTATCAATAGTACCAGGTACCTRCATATTTACACTGTATAATTTGGTATATGTGGGGTGTTTGAGATTTTTATGAATTTACGTAATGCGTGGATTACAATTTAAAGGTACATAAATATTGATATTGTATTGACAAGTAACTATTAAAATAAAATGAATRTAACTTGGACTGTACTCAATGTACTATCCATATAACATGCAACTATGTACGTAAGCTGACTGAATAAAATTATTACACCATTCCTTGACTTTAACTGTAAACATTTCCCGTTATAATCATTATGTAAATCAAATTTTTGTTAAGTCTATAAAAATTTATCGAGTGAAAATAAAATAAAACTAAACATGTTACGATTTCTTCAAAGTATTTTTCGTCTTTGTAATCGAACACTTTCCGGTTTGTTATTAGCACAACTGAAAATATTTCTTTCTTCCGGTAAACATAAGTTATAATRCTGAATGTTTATCTATGCATATTCTTTTTCTTTAAACACAATAATATCAAAAATGATAAGTTTAGTACGAGTACATTATGTAA